ACACACACACACACACACACACACACACACACACACACACACACACAGGCATATAATGAAATAAAGAAATCTAATAAAAAAAAGTGTGTCTGTGTGTGTATGTGTGAGTATGTGTGTATCTGTGTATGGGTATGTGCCTATGGGAGTGCAGGTGCCTGTGGAGGCCAGAAGAGGGCATCATGTCCCCTGGAGCTAGAGTTATAAGGCAGTTGTAAGCTGTCTGACAATGGGTGCTGGGATCAAACTTGTACCTCTGGAAGAGCACCAAATGCTCTTAGCAGAGCTATCTCTCCAGCCCCAACAATCAAGATTAATAACTTCACCCAAGCATCCCATCTCCCCAGACTGTGCCAGGGGAAGAGAGAAGAAGGAGAGGGGTACCAGCACTCACTTGGCCAGGGTCCTGTTCTTTGTCCTGGACTCCCTACAGCAACTCTGTACAGTGGACTCAGAACTCTCACTTTGCAGGTATACTGACATTCATGAAAGGTTACAGAACCAGGTGTGAGGACCAGAGCATCCCAGTAATGGTACAAGCCATTACAAGCTCCCTGCACCTCCTCCAGAGCCAGCACCCCCTGTCCACTGCATCCCCCTGGACAGGAGAAGGTCTACCTTCTCTAAGCTATGACTGTCTCCTTTGATACCAGCAGCTTGTCTGGGGAAGTCAAATAAGAGACCACACAGTGAAAACTGTAAACTGTCAAACACCAGATAAACTTGACACGACCTGATTAATATCGAAGTGAGGCACATGATCTGTGCCATAAACAAGGGCTTGGGATGTAGCTTAGTGGCGGCGTGCTTGCCTACCACCTATGAGGTGCTGGGCTGGGGCTGGCTCCTCACTACGGCTGTAAATAAGTAATAAATGATTTCTAAAATGGCGCGATGACAAAAGACGGAAGAGCCGCCGTATCCTCTGAGCCAGGTCTGCTTGGGGAGCTGTGCTTCGAGTCACAGCTTCAGTGGATTAGTTTTCGGCAATCCGTGTGTGATATGTCAAGAGAAGGGTCTCTGATGTTCCGGGAGCATGCTCTCTGGGGCTTCCAGTGGCTGAGAGCGGACATGCCCCGGCAGAAGCAGCTCAAGGGTCTGCCCTGCTGAGGGTCCCAAACAGTCAGGGGCTGCTCAAGACCAACCGCCCTCTGGGTGTTACAAAACCAAGGGCATTGACACCGACGAGGTGCAGCGGCCAGAAAGGGGTCTGCCCTCTGCTCAGAGTGAGGCTTCAGGAGACTCCCACACAGGGGAACAACGATCAACCCCAAAGGCCGAGCAGAGGAGAGGGAGCAAAGGCCAGCCAGCTGGACCCCAGCGCAGCATCCTGGCAAGGCTGCGGCTTCTGCCTTCTCATCAGATGCCTGGGATGGTCTAGGAAGCTCCTCGATGGAATGCCTGGTGTGTAGTTAGCACTCCTGTCTCGTCAGCCATTTTTCCTTTTTTTTTTTTTTTAAATAATTAAGCAACTTCATAAATTACTTTAAACTATTTACTCTTTAATACTTATGTGCAATTTTATTTCAACAAACAATAAATTAAGCAGTCACTTATTTTTTAAAAAAAATCTCTGTTGTTCTTTCTTCCCGTGCTAGACAGCTCAATGTTTTAATAATTCAGGCACAACTGTCTGGCCAGCTGGCTCTTTGCAGATGTTTCCTCTCTTAATGTAAGTAGCACTCTTCCCCGTTCATGTAACATTCCTGGCACACAGAGTACCGTGTGTCAGGGCTGGGGATGCCCTGGGCATCAGCTCAGTTATTACGCCCGTCCTTTTCTGAGCTTTGTAGTGAGCTGGTTTTGTCATGAATAATTTAGAAGGGACAACACCTTAAAACCAGATCGCCACACACAATTTCAATCGCTCAAGCTGCTGTATCCACTTTCCATTCAAGCAAAGCGGCCTCACAGCCATCATCTCACTTCACACCCCCAGAACAACCTTCTGAGGTTGCCCAAGCAGACCGCATGAGGTCACCTTCAGATGGGGAGACGGAGGCTCAGGAAGGGTGGCACTCACTGGCGGCCCTGAAGGCTTGCGGGTGGCCTCTGTCTGGCCACTGCAGAGAAGAATTTCCACACAGTCTCTGCGGCTCCTTGTGCTGGCCCTCCCCCTACCTGCCAGCCTCCCAAGAAGGGTGACAGAGCCCCACTAGCAAAAGGAAACTTGAACCAAGCCCATGCAGCCAAATCTGCAGCTAGTGAGGAGCTGGCTCTGCCTTCCAGACTTGGGTTCAAGGCCCAAGCTGGCCTTGCTCTCCCTGTGTGAGGGCTGGCAGATGACAGCACCTCTCTGAGGTACAGGCCTCCTCTGATTCTGTGGGCCATAAAGGCTGGTCACGCTGTAGAAGTTGGAACTTGCTCTGTGCTCAGTCTGTGTCAAGTCAAATCATTGCTCCTTGCTTTAACATGGGACATGCTGGAGACAAGGTCACTTGCTAATCTGAAGGTGGCAGGGCAAACCTGAGAACCGCAGGTCTGGTCCTGACAGCAGGGGCCGGGAAGGTGAAAGGCGGGTACAGGAATTAGGAAGGATGGTGGCAGGCAGGAAGTGAACGAGAGGTCCAGACACTCCTAACACGCTCAGCACTCGCACACACACCCCTGCCACGTGTACACAGCGCCCACAGGCAGCCCTGCCCTCCGTACCTACGCGCTGCGCGTCCCTCCTGATGGCTTCCTCGTTGTGCCAGTCCTTCAGCTTCTGTTCACCTCCCAAGACAAGTGTCTTTTTCTGTCGACTGTGTAATTCCTTAAAAAAAAAAAAAAAAAAACAAAAACAAAAAGAAGAAAGCGTGAACAGGAAGAAAAAGGAAAATATTGGCCATAACAAAGGCCCGGAGGGAACACTAAAGGGAACACTACCACCTCCCACCCTCACGGCGTCTTCCTGAGTGCCTGCCATGTGCCCGTTAGGTGGGCAGAGCCCAGAGGGACACAGAAACTCAGCACGACCCCTTGGAGACTCGCCACCCGGGGAGGATGGAAAGACAGGCATACTCTTTTCACTGCGAGGGAAAGTGCCGCGTGTGTTGCTGCCCGACAGGAAGGATATGTAAAACAGACATGGCAGCCAAAGCAAGCCCGCTTCCCTCGTGAAGAAAGAAAGCAGGGCTGGGGGTGGTGGGCGACCCCCGTAATCCTAGCACCCGGGAGGTAGAGGCAGGGAGAGCGGGAGTGCCAGGACAGACTGGCCTACCTAGTGAGACATGGTCATACAACAAGACTGAACGGTGAGTAGAGGCTAAGGGATGTAGTTCATTGGTGGAGTGCCTGCTTAGTATTCACGAGCCTCAGCACTCCAAAGGCACAAACAGATGCATGAACTTGGTTTTAGAAACACTGATTTTTAAAAAATTTTAATTACATGTATATATATATATGTGTGTGTGTGTATGTGTCGGGGGGTGGGGGAGGAGTATGTCTATGGAGGCCAGAAGAGGGCATCAGATCCCCTGGGGCTGGAGTTACCAGCGGTTGGGAGCTGCTAGACACGGGTGTGAAGAACCGAATGTAGGTCCTCGGTAAGACCAGTGTACACTCTTAACGGCTAAGCCATCTCTCCAGCCCCAGGATGTTTAATTAAAGCCAATCCACTTTGTCTAAAATGCAATCAATGTAAAACATAATTATGGAATTTTTCTCTTTTTTTGGACTAAGACTTTGAACACTTGGGTTCGTGTCAATCCCAACCCCTTTTCCGGTGCTCTGGAACTGCAGGTGGCTGGCTAATGGCTACACCCAGGACAGAGCCTCAGAAATGAGTGTCAGGTGCTGGAATGACAGCCTCCTGCTTTTACAGGAGTCCTGGCAATTCAAAACCAGGCTCTCACGCTCAAGCAGCAAGTGCTTTAACCCCTGAGCCTTCTCTGTTGTACCAAACACACAACTCTTAAGTAACCCTGATCAGGTGGTATTATGTAAAAGAGCACACCAAGACTTTCAAACCAGACGTTATTCAGGCTGTGTCTCTGAAAGTTGAGATCAGTTTCTTTGTTTGCAATCATCTTCTGGTACTTTCCCTTCCCCCAGCTTCCGGAATGTCCCCTCGACACAGGAGATGAAGACAAAAGGGAAGGAGCACCTTGAGGGTGTGAGCTAGTCGGGAAGGATGACAGGACGGACGAGAAATGCCTTTAGACAGCAAACTGTAGAAGCGTGTTGACGTGTTTGGAGTGACGGTGTCTGGAGCCCATGTGTGCTTAGTCAACATTCCAAAAGGATCGATCACAGTCCCAGCAGCCACTCACTCACTCATCCAAATGGAATTCTAATCTTTGTTTAATCACCATTTGGTGTGCCTGGCACCCTTTGAGGAGAGGACAGAATGGTGAAACAAAGCCAACTGCAGTCTGCTGGAGAAGACAGGTTGGTCAAAGCACACACTCCAAGCCCGAGATTGCAGACTTGGCAGAGCCTGTCAGCAAGGGGCCTTGAACCTCTGGCCCAGCTGGCTAGGGCTCACAAAACCACAGGAGGGCTGAAAAAGGAACCGGAGAGGGTTGTGAGCTTCAGCCAGGTCTCAGGTTGTATCGGGGGGACAGGCTTTGCTGTAGATGTTAGGGTGAGTCTGTAGAGTCCCAACCCACCCCTCAGAGGAGCTGGGGTGATTCTGCTCCAGGATCGCATGCACTCATTGAAGCCACACATTAAGCAGATAATTCTAATAGCCTTCTGTGTCCATGCACGGACATACACAGAATCACACAGATGGACAGACACACACAGACACTCACAATCAGAGTGGACCAGGTTGAACTTATTTAGTCAAATGCATAAAGTTGCTTTATATAAGGTGGCCTGGTCTGAATGAGAATGGCCCCATAGGCTCACATGTTTGGATATTCAGTCCACGCTTTGTGAAAGTGTCTTGGAGGTGTGGCCTGTCACTGGTAGTGGGCTTTGAAGTCTCTAAACCAATGCCAGGCCCAGTGTGTCTGCCTGCCGCCTGCAGGGTAGGATGTAAAGCTCTCAGCTCTTGCTACAGTGTCGTATCTGTCTGCTTCCCACCATGATGACCACAGACTAACTCTGTTACCAAGCCCCCAATTAAATGCTTTCCTTTTTGGGGCTGGAGAAATGGCTCAGTGTTTAAGAGCACTGTCTGTTCTTCCAAGGGTCCTGAGTTCAATCCCCAGCAATCAATCACATGGTGGCTCACAACCATCTATAGTGAGATCTGGTGCCCTCTTCTGGCCTGCAGATGTACATGCAGACAGGACATTGTATACATAATAAATAAATCTTTAAAAAATTGTTTCTGGGGGCCGAAGAAAGGGCTCAGAGGTTAAGAGCACTGGCTGTTCTTCTAGAGGTCCTGAGTTCAATCCCCAGCAACCACAAGGTAGCTATAATGAGAGCTGGTGCCCTCTTCTGGCCTGCGGATGTACACAGAGACAACACAGTATATGTGACAAAATAAATAAATCTTAAAAAAAAAAAAAAAGGTTCCTTTATAAGAGCTGCCTTGGTCATGTTTGCTCTTCACCGCAGCAGAAGGGATCTGGGTGGTTGTATAATGCATCTCTTCATGAATTTTAAGGGCAGACACTGAGTGATTTCCATTCATCTATGTAACAAGGGATTATCAAAGGCCTTCTACGTCCAAGGAATTCTGGGTGAGACAAAGTGTGACAGGCAGTCTTAGGGTGCATGGACTGCACTTGGCACCACCCAGTAGACATCCCTTTGGGAGTGCCTGAGAGAGCTTTACCAGAGGGGTTTAACTGAGGAAGGAGAGTACACACCGAGTGTGGATGGAACCATCCCCACGGACTAGGGTCCCACACTCCATAAAAAGGAGAATGAACTGAGCACCAGCATTCATCTCTCTCTGCTTCCTGACTGTGGGCCCAATGTGACCCGTGGTTTCACCCTCACCGCCACTGTGCCATCCCTGACATGACGGACTGTCACCACTGTTAAACCATTAATTAATACAAACCCTTCCTGGGTCTGGAAAGATGGTTCCATGGTTGAGAGCACTGGCTGCCCTTCCCAAGGACCCGAGTTTTCTTCCCAGAACCTACACCGCGGCTCACAAGCATCTGTAACAACAGTTCCAGGGGAGCTGACGCTCTCTTCTGGCTACCACAGGCACTAAGGATGTACACGGTGCACTGACTACGTGCGGACAAACACCCACACATCAAAAAAACAAAGCAACAGCTTCCTGCCGTTAAGTCGCTCTTGGTGACGTTGTCATAGCAATAAGAAAAGTAGTTAACATGTATAGTTAAATAAGACAGCCACAGGCTCAACAAACAGGATAAGGAAAGACACACGTCGCTATAGCGTCTTGCCCTAAAGGTGGTACAGATAAAATCTGTAGGTATTTAGAAGAGTCACAAATCAGTGTTCCCACGGGGGGGGGGGGGTGACAGGGAAAGGAGTCTTTGGCAGTGGTGTGGAAAACTGGGGAGGGATCTGCCTGGGAGCAATGAGGGCGAAATCCAGCTGGGGGACATGCATGAACCAAGAAGTGGAGGTAGAAGGTGAGAGACAGGCCTGACCTGGAGAGATACACACGGTTCAAAGTGTAGAGATGAGCCACACAGCAGCAGGAAGTCTGGACCAGTGCTGCTTGGCAGGTGGGAGCCACAGAAGGTCTCTGAGCAAGAAACGAGCCACGGCAGAGCTCAGGAATAAAGCACTGAGGGCTGGAGAGATGGCTCAGAGGTTAAGAGCACTAGCTGCTCTTCCAGAGGTCCTGAGTTCAATTCCCAGCAACCACATGGTGGTTCACCACCACCTATAATGAGATCTGGTGCCCCTTTCTGGTATGCAGCAGAACACTGTATACATAATAAATAAATAAATCTTTAAAAAAAAAGTATTGATGCCCACGTGCTTTTGCTCAGTTTCCTCCTTCGAGAGAAGTGGGGATGTAGCCTACTTTGTTTTCATCTAGAGAAAATACTTCCTCTCCCAAACTGAGGACCACTCTTATTCTAGCCTTCACAACTAAGACCCAAATGAGGCTAAGTACATCAGCCTCAACCAGACCTGAGGTTTTGAGAAAGTGTGTGTGTGTGTTTGTTTGTTTTCTTACTTTGACCAGAACCAAGTGGTATGAGAATACAACTGAACCTAACCAGTACCATGCCCCAGAGAATCTCAGAATCCAATACCAAATGGGAAATAGATGCCATCTCCTGGATCTAAAATCTAGACCCTTGGCACCACCCTGGTCCAAGAGGAAAGCCTCAGGCAAGCTGCCCTGGCTTTCCAGTGTATCCTCAGGGCTCCACATTTCATGTTTCGTTGGCCCTTCATCTGAGGACTGCCTGTCTCCCCAGACTGTGAGTTCCAGAAAAGCAGGTCTCATTTTGCCAACTAATGGATGGGCAGATCTGCCTCTGTTTTATGTTTTTTTCTGGATGGAGGGAAGGTCATGCTGGGATTAGACATGCCTAACACAGTCAAGGGGATTTAAAACCAGAAAGGGCTCTGCAGATTAACTCTATCCTCTGATTAAATGGCTGCAGGTCAGTTTAATGGGCTGCATAACTCTAAAGAGAGAGGGCTCACCTGACCCTGAAGTGATTTCTAAAAGATGGCACAGGCTTTGAACTCTCACTCTGCCTCCTTCACGCCAGTTGGCTTCCTGTCTGCATTCCTAACCCCGAGGCCAGTGGGCTCATGGGAGCCAGAAAACGTCAATTTAGTTTCTAAATACTAGCAAAGAAAGATTGGAAACTGAAATAAAAAAACAAAACAAAACAATAACATCATTTACAACAGTGCCAACAT